CTACAGACACACTGCCAAGACCCTACAGTTGGAAGGCCATCATACTTGGATAACAAAGGATCACCTCCAGTAAGTGCTCCACACTGCGTTTATGAACACTAGGAATATGGGAAAGAAAGGAGTCAATTTTGTTGGTAATCAAAGTACAAGTGAGTGCCATTTTCCTCAGTGGGAAAGAGTTTGGGCCAGAAAGCGTTTACTTAGTTATGTATAATTTATCACCTGATGAAGAATCCTGTCCACTGTTTTCAGCTTTAAATTGTGTTAATCTATTTAAATTGATTTTATTTCTAGCACTTGTCCCAACAATCCCCCATGGTGGGTGGAACTTGGATTCACATTTCATTCCTTCTTGCCTGTATCCTAGCAGGGTTTTCTCCTGTTTGGGGAGAGTTTGGTAACAGATCTCCTAGTCATCTGTCCTCTTTTCTGCCTTTCACTTTCATCTTCTTTTCTCTTCAGAATTATATATTTACTGGAAAGCAAGTAAGAACTTTTCAAAGATATGTGATTGTGATCATGGGTGTAACAAGGCAAATAAAATGAATCACAATCAAATTTACAACAACAAATCATCCCTTATCTACATTATCTTGATATGAAAGGAAAAACAAACATGATGGAAGAAATTCTTCTGTGTCATAATCATAGGCAACTCATGATCCACAAATATAGCACAGAGGAGCAGGTGTCAGTGAATTTTGGGAATTAGAAACCGGTTGCAGGGGAGTATTACTGTGCACAGAATTAGTTCTTACCATTTCTATTTTCTTTTTCATGTTTTCTGTTTCTTTGAGAGCGCAAAAGGGAAGCTCCCTCCCTGCACAAAAATCTTCTCGACACAAAAGCCTGCTTTTGTCTGCAGCCAAAATTGCTTCCTCACCTTGGAAAGAGAGTGCACGTGTGGCTGGGTGTGCCAGCAGGCCTGGTGCTCTGCTGCAGGCACTGGCAGGCGCGCATGCTTTCCGGGTCTGCCTGCATGCCCTGCCATACATGCACTCTCTGAGAGTGTGTGTGTGACAGGGCATGCAGACAGGCCTGGAGCACACCTGCAGTTGAGCAACTCTTACTCTGGAGTAGAAACAGCAGGTGCCATATAAGAACAGAAACGCACGCTGGAAAGGGGAGCAGTAGGTGGGAAGACCCCCCCCCCCCATTATGGTCTGATTTTTAGGCCCCCGTACTGAAAACAACCCTTTTGATTTTGGGAAGCTCCTAAAAATGGATCGGGGGTCCCAACAAAAGCTGGAACTAAACGGGTCAAAGGTTTTCCCAAATACACAAGTCAGATCCAGGAAGCCCTGGAAGTAAGCACAACCCGAAAAGCATTTTTCTCTTGCAAAGGAATTTAATGAAATGGTCCTGCAGTTACTGCAGACTCTCTTGGAGACCGAAATGGATATTATGCATTTCCAATTAGAGGGCCATTCTTTTGCTCCCCAAATTTGCTATCTATTCTTGGTGATTTCCTGCTCTAAAGCAGGCATGGGTAAACTCCAGCCCTCCAAGTGTTTTGGACTTCAACTACACAATTCCTAAAAACTGATAGGCTGTTAGTAATTGTGGGAGTTGAAGTCCAAAACAGCTGGAGGGCCAGAGTTTGTCCATGCCTGCTCTAAACCTCTACTTTGTTAGATATGATTTAATCCAGTGTTTCTCGGCCTTTCTAATGCCGCGACCCCGTAATAGAGTTTTTCATGCTGTGGTGACCCCCAACCATAACATTATTTTCATTTCATAACTACAATTTTGCTACTGTTATGTATTGTAATGTAAATATCTGACATTCAGGATGTGTTTTCATTCACTGGCACAAATTTGACACAAGTACCCGATATCTCCAAATGTAAACACTGGCAGGGTTGGGGGAAAATAGACCTTGACATTTGGGAGTTGTAGTTGCTGAGATTTATAGATCACCTACAATCAAATAACATTCTGAACTCCTCCACTGATGGAATTGAACCAAACTTGGCACACAGAACTCCCATGAATAAGAGAAAATACTGAAAGGGTTTGGTGGGCATTGACCTTGAGTTTTGGAGTTGTAGTTTACCTACACCCAGAGAGCACTGTGGACTCAAACAATGATGGATCTGGATCAAACTTGGCATGAATACTCAATATGCCCAAATGTGAACACTGGTGGAGTTTGGGGAAAATAGACTTGACATTTGGGAGTTGTAGTTGCTGGGATGTATAGTTCACCTACAATCAAAGAGCATTCTGAACCCCACCAATGGAAGAATTAGACTAAAATTTCCACACAGAAGCCCCACGACCAACAGAAAATACTGTGTTTTTTCATGGTCTTTGGCGACCCCTGTGTCATCCTCGTGTGACCCCCTCAGGGGTCCCGACCCCCAGGTTGACAAATGCGGGTTTAATCTATAATGTAAAGTTTGCATCATAAATCTATCCTTTTGGTATGAAATAGTAGATGTTTTATGTAGTACACTTTCTTTTATGTTTAACGTGTTTCCTTCATGTGTAAACAATATTAATTTAAATACTATACTAAAATGTTTATTTATTTATTTATTTAGAACTTTTATATACTGGTCTTCTCACCTCCAGCGAGGGACTCAGGCCGGTTTACAACAAAGGAATTCATACACAATAGTTTAAAAACATCACATCCAATAATACACTAATATAAACACATTAAAGTACTATCATATAATTATATAAGGCCAAATCGTTAACATAAAATCACTATTCATCCCCATCCGTCCGTGTGGTCAAGAGTTATTGCCTCACTCATCAAATGCCAAATTCCAGAGCCAGGTTTTCACCAACTTTCTAAAGGTCAGGAGGGAAGGGGCAGTTCTAATCTCCAATGGGAGAGAGTTCCAGAGCCGAGGTGCCACCACCGAGAAGGCCCTGTCCCTCGTCCCCACCAGACGCGATTGCGAGGGTGGTGGGACCGAGAGCAGGGCCCCTCCAGAAGATCTTAACAACCTTGATGGTTCATAGGGGAGAATCCGTTCGGACAGGTAAACTGGGCTGGAGTTGTTTAGGGATTTATAGGTCAACACCAGCACTTAAAATAGCCTGATTTTTTAATGCGCAACCAGAGCAAAGAGTGGTAGATGGCATATGTTTCTGTATCTCAAAAACTAGAACTGATAGGGTGAAACAGATGCCATTTTTGGAATCAGCTGGTCAAATATACCCAGAAAAAAGTCTATCATTTGAGGCACCCAAATGTGCATTGGACAGCATTGTTACAGTATTTCTCTATTCCCTGCACACAGGTCACTGAATAGTTGTATTCAGTGTCCTGGCTCTATTTCTGTCACTTTTTACTTTTGCTTCTTGTCCGTCATTAGGTACTTGAACAGTTTTATCTGTCATCCTGGGAGGTTTCTCTTTCTTTTTGGCTGCAGATTGTGTCGTTTTGCCCCCTTCCCTCATAAATTCCCTGGCTTCAATCCAGAGTACTTTCAGAGCAACACTTCAGAAGCCAAAAAGGGCTTCATGTTGACCCCATGTTAATAACTATGACTTTCTATGTTTGGAAATCTTATGCTGCTTCCGTTTACTATCGAGAATCAGACCCACAAAATATGAATTCTATGAAATTCTATAAACCAGTTATGCCATCGCACCTGAGGGCTATAACTCTTAGTGAAAGAGACATAGACGTGACATCTTTCCCCCAGGGGATTGCTTCTTGCCTTCCTTTAAAGAACTGGAACTCCCAAGGACCAAAACACTGTAGATAACTCAAAATAGGTTTTATTGTTCACAAAGAGTTATCCCTTTAAGGCAATAAGCTGGAAGTTTCAAAGGGGTAAAGGAAATATACATTACAGTCTCTGGTTGTCTTGGGTCCAAGGAGATTTTGCAGCTGAGAAGCTTTTCCTGTTCCCTCTTTTCTCAATGGCTGTGAAGGTCAGAACAAACACAACCCCCAGTCCAATGGCCTATGTTGAAGGCACAGAGTCTTCATTTTGATGCCAAAGGACTGGTTTGAAGGTGCTTGAGTTTCCTCAACGTTGTCCAGGATGATCTGGACATGAAATATGAGTCCCAAGGGTAAAAACCTTAGAATTGGTGATGAGAGGTAACTTAATTAAGGGCTTTAGAGCCAAGTCTCTTTCTCACATCTATCTGATAGAAAGTTTGATGGTAGAATGGAAAAGGAAAAACTCTGCCCTCCTCCAGGAAGAGGTGGAGTTAAGCAATTGAGCTGAGGAAGCAATATAACTGGTGCAAACAACATTGATTGACAGCTATAAATAACCAATCAATCCAACTATACATTTACAAACTAAGCAAGTATGGGCATGTTATACAGTTTAAACCTTTGCACTTTAAAGTTCTACACACAGGTGGTGCCACTCACGGTGTCACACCAGCAAACAGTGGTTTTGAATCTTGAGTGGGTTGTGTTCTTTGCTCCACCTTTGCCTTGGTTTCCTTGAACACACCCAAGAATGGGTGATGGATGTACCCAAAGAAATCTACACAATCCTTTTAAAAATGAAATGTATTGTCTTGGGGAAACAGCTTGGAAGGAAATGACAGCACTCCCAACCCCACTGATAAGATCCCTCTGTCCCAATATATGTCACAAACCCATTGAAGGTACACATCAAGAACCACAGGAACACATTACTTTTTGAACACTCGCAGCCAGGCCAAATTACTTCTCTGAAAATAACTTTCGAAGCCCTGCCCTCTTTGTGCTTTTGATCCCTCTCAGAGGATGCCAACTTCTGATAGTGGAGTTAAACTGGCATGCAGAGCCTCCGCTGTCCTTCTAGGCTCCGGTTCTTCCTTGCCAATGAGAGTGATATGCGTTTCCAAGCCTCTCTCCTTTCTTTTCCTGCATGTATCACAAACCTGGAGGCCTGCCTTTCTGTTCCTGCTGGCACCCGGGACCCAGATCAAAGAAACAATGAACAACGGCCTCCGAGTGCCAGCCAGGACATTGCTGCTATCGATTGCAAAAGGAAGGAGGAAGGGGAAGGCACACCAGTTGCTTTCCTTTATTATCAGCATCCCCATTCATTCCGAACAAGCTGGCTTTTTTGCTCTCCTCTCCCCACTGGTCCCCATATTCTCCTCCTTGTATTTCTGGAAATCCGAACCTCCCTTCCCAGCACGGCCCTTTTGGTCATGTGCTGCTCTTTTCTGGGTTACTTAAAGACAGCTGGGGGCTCCTGGACAACCGATTCTCCCTTAAGACAGCTGGGCACTTTCTGTCCTTTTTTTGGTCCTTTCCTCACTGACTTCTTGTGAGACTGCATCATGGAGTGTGTGAGTCTTGGTTTCTCTGCTGTTGCTGTGACTCTCCAGAAGAGAGATTGTGGGTTCCTGAATTTGGGGAGCGGGTGGAGCGGACAATATCTTCTCTTTTAAGAAATGAGTTAGTTTGTTCATTTAAGTCATAGTTTACTAGAGTATATAGGTAATTAGAGTTGGACAGTATTATCTTAAATTACAGCTTTATGTAAATATTCAAAACTGATGCTCAATTAATGTAATTTTATTGGTGTCTATTTTTATTTTTGAAATTTACCAGTGGCTGCTGCATTTCCCACCCTCGTCTTATACTCAAGTCAATGAGTTTTCCTATTTTTTGGTGGCAAAATTAGATGCCTCAGCTTATATTTGGGTAGGTTTATATGCTGGGTTGCTAAATCGCATTATTATGGATGTATTGTTGTTGCATTTGGGCGCTGAATGTTTGCCTTTTATGTATTGTCGAAGGCTTTCATGGCTGGAATCACTGGGTTGTTGTAGGTTTTTCGAGCTATATTACCATGTTCTAGAAGCATTCTCTCCTGACGGTTCGCCTGCATCTATGGCAAGCATCCTCAGAGGTTGTGAGGTCTGCCTTTTATGTTTGGAATCCGCCCTGAGTCCCTCCGGGGAGATAGGGCGGAATATAAATAAAGTTTTATTATTTATTATTATTGGTGTTTATTGCTGTTTGTGTGTGCTTTGGAGTGTTCCCCCCCCCCCTCCGCTTCTTGGTGAAATCTCCTTCTCGGTTTTTAAACAGAGACTGAATGACCATCTGTTAAGAGAGCTTTGATAGTGTGGTATTGCATGGCAAAAGGGGAATGGACTGGATGGGCCTGGGAGGTCTCTTCCAACTCTGTTTATAATTCTATGGATCTTTTCTATTATGCATCATCACTTGTTGGTGAGGCTGTCTAATTTCTCGACTTTGAAGCAGGGCTAGGAAAAGCTGCTTTGCAATTGTACTAGATCAGTGGTTCTCAACCTTCCAAATGCCGTGACCCCTCATGTTGTGGTGACCCCCAACCATAATATTGTTTTCGTTGCTACTTCATAACTGTAATTTTGCTATTGTTATGAATCGTAATGTAAATATCTGATATGCAGGGTGTATTTTCATTCACTGGACCAAACCGGGCACAAATACCCGATACGCCCAAATTTGAATACTGGTGGGATTGGGGGGTGGTTGATTTTGTCATTTGGGAGTTGTAGCTGTTGTGATTTATAGTTTGCCTACAATCAAAGAGCAATCTAAACTCCACCAATGATGGAATTGAACCAAATTTGGCACACAGAACTCCCATGAACAACAGAAAATACTGGAAGGGTTTGGTGGGCATTGCCCTTGAGTTTTGGAGTTGTAGTTCACCTACATCCAGAGATCACTGTGGACTCAAACAATGGTGGATCTGGACCAAACTTGGCACGAATACTCAATATGCCCAAATGTGAACACTGGTAGAGTTTGGGGGAAAATAGACCTTGACCTTTGGTAGTTGTAGTTACTGGGATTTATAGTTCACATACAATCAAAGTGTATTCTGAACTCCACCAACGATAAAATTGGGCCAAACTTGGCACATAGAACCCCCATACTAACAGAAAATATTGTTTTTTCTGGTGGTCTTTGGCGACCCTTCTGATGCCCCCTTGCGACTCCCCCAGGGGTCCCGACCCCCAGGTTGAGAAACGCTGTACTAGATGTAGGATAATACTAAGAGTTGTTAATATCTAAAAGGTAACAAGTTGCTTCTGGTGTGAGAGAATTGGCCGTCTACAAGGCCCAGGGGTTGCCTGGAAGTTTTACCATCCTGTGGGAGGCTTCTCTCATGTCCTTTATGGGAAGCTGAAGCTGACAGAAGGGAGCTCACCCTGCTCCCCAGATTCGAACCTCGGACCTTTCAGTCAGCAGCCCTGCTGGCACAAGGGTTTAATCCTTTGCGCCACCAGGGGTTCCTTGTTGGTTGAAGGTGATTAAGTTGTTAATGAGAGGAAAAGACCAACTAATTAGCTTTTGCCTGAGATTACAAACAAGGGGGGGATTCTGCCTCTTCCGCCTCTTCTCTATTACTGTATATACTTGTATATAAGCTGAGTTTTTCAGCCCTTGGCTTATACTTGAGTGAGGGTCCTGTTTGGCTTATATTCAGGTAAGCTTATACTTGAATATATAGATAATTAGAGCTGGACAGTCTTATATTAAATTACACTTTTATGTAAATAATAAAAACTGATGCCTCAATTAATGTAATTTTATTGATGTTTTATTTTTATTTTTGCTGCATTTCCCACGTTTGTCTTATACTCGAGTCAATAAGTTTTCCCATTTTTGGTGGTAAAATTAGGTGCCTCAGCTTATATTCGGTTGGCTTATACTCGAGTATATATGGTAATCGAATATAAACTACTTTTGCACTCTGAAATCTATTTGCTACAAGAAAAGCAAGTTTAAGAAAATGAGAGTAAAAAGGGGGGATATTTTAAAAGCTACTGAAAAATAGTCAACAACAGAGAGCTAATTGGTATTGTCACCTTGTGGTCTGTGCTCTAAGATATTCCACTCCAAGGTCTGCAAATAGCAGAAGGATGTGCATGAAAATTTTGAAATACATATCAGAAAACAGAAACTGGTTGTTTTATTGAGGGTTTCAATAAAATCACATTCTGATTTTATTGTGTATTAACTTTTGTGTCATCCTTTTTAATATGTCTATGTTTTAATATGGATGTATTTTAACTATGGTGTGATTTACTTTGAAGCATAAGGAGAGGCATGTAATACATAAAAAGTATATTTGGTGGCAGAGTGAGTTAAATTGCTAAGCTGCAGAATGTGCTGATTGGAAGGTTGGCGGTTTGAATCCACGGGACAGGCTGAGCTCCTGATGTTAGCCCCAGCTTCTGCCAACCTAACAGTTTGAAAACATGCAAATGTGAGTTGCTCAATAGGTATCGCTCCAGTGGGAAGATAACATCGCTCCATGCAGTCATGCCAGCCACATGACCTTTGAGGCATCTATGGAATACGCCGGCTCTTCAGCTTAGAAAAGTCTAATCGAGTCCAACTTCTAGAGTCGGACTCAACTAGACTTAATGTCAAGGGGAAACCTTTATCTTTATTATTATTATTATTATTATTATTATTATTATTATTATTAGAAACACAACAAGATTCGTACACACCAAGCAAGATCACTCTGCTGGCTGTTGTATTGGATCACACGTTGGACAAAGATCCCAGTAGTGTGGCCTTTTGCAGCTGACAGATGGTAATTTTGTCAGTTCCGATTGTGTTTAAGTGTAGGCCAAGGTCCTTAGGCACTATACCCAGTGTGCCAATCACCACTGGAACCACCTTGACTGGCTTGTGCCAGAGTCTTTGCAATTCGATCTTTAAATCCTCATATTGTGTCAGTTATTTCTCTTCAATCCTGCTGTTCCCTGGGATTCCAATATCTATGATCCATACTTTGCTTTTTAACACGATCATGAGGGCAGGAGTATTGTGCTCCAAAACTCTGTCAGTCTGAATTCAGAAGTCCCAGAGTAATTTGACGTGTTCATTTTCTCTAACTTTTTCAGGCTTGTGATCCCACGAGTTCTTTGTCACAGGCAGGTGGTATTTGTAGCACACGTTCCAATGATTCATCTATGCAACTGTGTTATGCCTCTGCTTGTAGTATGTCTATTATTTATTTATTTATTTATTTATTTATTTATTTCTGAACCAGCCTTGCTTCTTCTGCCTCGCGTACCCTCCCTCATTCTTTTCACTTTTTTCCCCTTGTTAGACTACACAAATAAATAGAATTATGACTTTGAGAATTATAATTATTTGTAAACAAACAATGAAGGGCTCGATAGAATAGATGGACTTTGAAACATTCTAAGGCTTCTTGTGATCTAGTAGAGAACATAGATATTTGCGATGTCCCCACAAGTGTGGGAAGATGATGCCACCCAGACATTGATGGACTGCTACTCCCATCATTCTTCACCACTGGACAAGCAGTGTACAGCCAATGGGAATTGGGGTTCAACACCATCTGGTGGGGTACAGGTGTCCACCAGGTTGAAAGGATTGGAGGGATAATGCTTCCAAAATGAAATGGGATATTTTTCCTCCCTGGGTTTGTAGACTTGTATTCCTGCATGCGAGACATAATATCCTATGACTTCATCCTAAAACTGGCACCAAAAAAAAAAGGACACAAGGAGAGGTGTTGGCACCCTTAAAGGGAGAGGCAAATCACTGTGTTTGCCTGCTGTTTGGGGCAATTGGGATAATTTTTGGAGATAAAATTGTGATTTTTTAAAAAGTTATGGAAGTTCAGGAGGGCTGGAGAAAATACAAGAGGTTTGAAAGACTTGAAAGCAGGGTCTGGAAACCACATGAGTCATTGTCAGCTGCACTTTCCTCTCCCATATTCCCCATTCTGACATGAGCACATTTTTAAGTGTTTGATTTCTTTTTCTCGCAGGGAGTGGTGGCTACTCATCTGAAAGTTTGCCCTGGAGAGACTGTTCAAGTGGAAGGCAAGATCTTGCCAGGTTGCAAAGGGTAAGCAGAAGGGAAAGTGGGCAGTTGTGGAAGAGAGCCAGTCGACGTTTTCCTTGGTTCCTTACTCACCTCACCTCGTATAAAAAAGTGGACCTTTAATAAGATAACCAATCTTAGGGCCTTGGCTTTCTTCTGCATTGTTCAGAGCCAGGGGAAGGAATCTCAGGAGGAGAGCACTGCTTTGAAAGGTCTGTGGTTCCCAACCTTTTTTTGAACAGGGACCACTTGAACAGGGACAACTTTGACCAGGGACCACTCTCCAACATTAGAATCAAAAGGATTACAAATCAGTTTTTGGTCAACTTTAGATTTGTTTTGGTTATTTGGGGTCTGATTCAGAAAATGGCATTGGATAGATCACATCAGCTCTAGTTTCTGATACAAAACATATGCCATCCTGTAGTCACCATCTGCTCACATACAGAATACCATATACAATAATCTTATGTGGTAGTAGTAATCTTTTGTGGGTAGTCAGTCTCTCCCCTCCTGACATTCCCATCGCCTCGGCACTATAAGAGGGTTTTGCGAGACTACTCACCTTCATAGCCACTTGCTTTCAAGGCAACAGTGTAGCAATGGTGAGGCCACAGACCATATTTTCATTCTTGCTGAACAGTAGTTGGGAACCACTGGTGTACAGTTAGCATTTCATATTCTCTGGGATTAGGGGTGCAGGACCTCCCACAAAAGTGAAAAACTGTGAATTAAAAATGCTATTTTATCTATCTTTTTCTTGTGATTTCTAGGTGCTCCAACATGATTCTATGATCAATGTCCACTGATAGTTTACCATGGAATTGCACTGGAGTTCTTGTTGACTATAATGTCATACTAGAAGGCATAAAGTATCCTAGAGAGAACATTTTAAATTAAAACTGCAAATAATCAAATCTGCAAAAGTCAAATCCGTCAACATGGAGGACCAACAGTATACACGTTTTCCTCATTTGTTCATCTGAACATGAGGAAGCACTTCCTGACTGTGAGAGCCGTTCAGCAATGGAACTCTCTGCCCCGGAGTGTGGTGGAGGCTCCTTTTTTGGAAGCTTTAAAACAGAGGCTGGATGGCCATTTGTCAGGGGTGATTTGGATGCAATATTCCTGCTTCTTGGCAGGGGGTTGGACTGGATGGCCCAAGAGGTCTCTTCCAACTCTTTGATTCTATGATTCTATGATTCTTGTTGTTGTTTTTAACAGCATAATCTATACGACTCTGGTTGATGCCCAATGTGCCATGCGTAATGACATTTTTAGATATCACTTCATGTGAAAACACAAAGAGCCATTGCTATGGCTCAAATATTGGCCCTTATGTCTCAGGGCTTTGGAGGTCCCTTTCCTTGCACTCCTCAATTTTAGGGTTTTTTCAGTGTCTGCTCCAAACCTTTGGAAACTCCTTCCTTTGGAAAACTAGGTTTGCAACCCCTCCCTCCCTCTCCTTCCATCAACAATGGCAAATTTTACCATTCTGATAACCCTTTAGGAGTTGACTGCATGAACATTTAATAGTGCATTGTTTGGTGACTTTTATCTTTCCATCTTTCAACCAGTTTGTTATAAAAGCGGTTAATTAGGTCCTCCTTTCACCCCTACCAATCTCACAAGCTCGTCTTGTGGGTACAAGGGAGAGAGCCTTCTCCTCTGTGGCTCCCCGACTTTGGAACTCTTTACCTGCTGAGATTAGGAAAGCCCCTTCACTAGAAACATTCAAAAAGAACCTTAAAACCTGGCTCTTCCACTGTGCCTTTGGTGAGTAGGTGCACACCATGACATTTTGCACACACACACCCCAACGTTTTCTGTTAATGGATCGCGCACCCTCCAAATGGCTAGTTTAGCCTAACAACTCTGTCTTTTTATGAGTTCCCCGTAAATGTCCTGCTCCTATTTTATCTCATTACAGTCTTTTAATTGTTTTATCCTGTATATGTGGCCCGCCCATTGTTATCGTTAATGTGATTGTCTTTATTAGAATGTTGTTTTATGATTGCCTTTTTTCTTCTCTAATGTAATTCTGATGATGTTGTAGTTGTTTGTTGCTTATGTTTTGATTTTATTGCTGTAATATGTTGTTTGGGCTTGGCCCCATGTAAGCCGCTCCGAGTCCCCACTGGGGAGATGGTGGCGGGGTATAAATAAAGATTATTATTATTATTATTATTATTATTATTATTATTATTTCTAGCATCATTGCTTTGCAACAATGACTTCTTATATGCTTTTACAGTTCATCTTTGTAAAGGCTTTTAAAGGGTGTTTGTCATAATATTTGGAACTTGCATTAAGTCCTAGTATGGGGAGGGGGGAAGCTGGGATACCAATGAATTAATGAGGATAATCCATAATAATGAAGGGTACCTCTTTCTTCCCAGTTTTGAGGTGAATCTGGGCAAGAACTGTGAGAACCTGGTGCTTCACTTCAACGCTAGGTTTGATTGCAAAGGAGACACAAACACCATTGTGTGCAACTCCAGGAGAGACGGAGTGTGGGAAGAGGAGGAACGAGAATCCCATTTTCCTTTTGAACAAGATGGCAACTTCAAGGTGAATGTTTGTTAGAGTGAATGGAAGGAGAGTGGCAGATTCAATTGTTTTTTTTTTGGAGAGAGTGTAGGAATGGGGAAACCTCCTTGAATGGGCTCTAAAGACATGCTTAAGGCTCTTATTTGAAGCCAGAAAATATACAGATGTGGCACAGGGACCAATTATTGCTCCATTCCCCCTATGGCCCATAGGGCATCACTTCTGACTATTATTTTAGATCATTTTCAACCAATATGGTAGCCATTTTCAAGAAATTTTGTGTGTGGGGGGGGAGGGTGTTGGGGTGAGTTAAACAGCCGTACTTGTTGCTGAGTTGAGGACCTTCTGTGCCATTTTCTGTGCCATTTCCTGGCAAAATAAAATTGCATGGAAAAAATGTCATGTGGGGGAAAAATCAAATGGCTTCAGGTGGAGCAAAAGTGGAACTCAGAGGCTTCCCATACCATTCTGTCCTAAGCTATTTCTATTTTGAGGGAGCAAAGAGGGCAGGTTATTTAAAACTCTGTTGTATTTCCATAGGCATGCAAAGACCTTTTATTATTTGGGCAATTAACGTGGCCGGGCTGAAGGGCCTATTTATGAGTTTGTGTGCTGTATTTTTATTTTTTCATGATTTCCCTTTATTTGAAAAGGTTTTACATAGTATGAAATAAAATGCACCTTTAATATAATAGTTAAACTAAATGACTTTTAGTTAGAATATAGCATCCTCGTTATCCTATGTGATCAGCTGCTTCCTGGGATTAGTAGTTATGTGCAGCACCAGCATTCTTTGGCAGAGAAGGTTAAAACCTTGGAAAACCACAATTTCTATGATTCCAGAGCATTGAGCCATGCAGTTAAAGTGGTGTCAAACTGCATCCATTCTACAATGTAGATACATTCTGAGATGAGTTCAGCAAAGTAGAGAAGGCGACCAATCCTCCATGTCTGATCTGAGCTTCTCAAGCCTTCCTTGAAAAGCTAATCTTCTACACACAGAGCCATTTAGTCATGTCTTTCTGAAGAAAACACAATGGAGAAACCCCAAAGAGTGCACCATTTTAATAAGAGCAGTCATTCGGTTGCAAGTTTCCAGACGTTGCCAAGGAATGGAAAAGGGTGTTGAGCCTCTCAGGTTAGCCATTGCTATTCTGCTTTGCTTTTTCTTTTGGCAGGCTTCCTTCGCTTTCGATACCAGTGAGATAAAAGTGAAACTGGAGGACGGCCATGAGATTCCCTTCCCAAACCGGCTGGGTCTTGATGTCCTCGAATACGTTGCAGTGGAGGGGGACTTCAAAATCCAAGTCCTCAGATTTGCGTGATGAAGACACCTATTCCCACAGTCTTCCTAGGTGGCATAATAAAGTCATTCAGTGCTTTGGGCACAGGCATAAGTTTGCAAAATTAAATGCTGTATTCTTCTCATGTTATTGTTTGCCTGTGGCTCTCTCAACTGAGAGCTCTTGCTTGCTTGCATCGGCTACAATGGGCCGTTTGGAGAACTGGTTCATTTGTCATAAAATAAAGAGCTTGGTTTGCCACGTTGCCATGAAAATGTATCCCTTTGGGTTGTTTGTGTGTTTTGGATGGAACCCTTGTTCCTGAGAGAATTATCTAACATAGTTACTCCATGGACAAACCAAGCCATCCGCTGCCAGTCCTTGGAGATTTCCTTGGAAGGAGTAATTGTAGCCAACGGGCACAAATACGGTGCTAATAGCTAACACATTGTGGATGGGTGGGTAAATATTCACAATCCTCATCACAAATGGCTGCAAATGTCTGGACACACAACTAACATTGAAGAAAGCAGTTAAGCAAGAGCTGGATGTGCCATGATTCCGAGCCCTGAGAATTTCTAAGTCCTCCAGGCTGAGTTTATGGTTTACTAGGACCAGACATCAAATAATCAAATAATTTAATGGTGTTTGGTCATATCTGGATTTCAAATGAATGTGGTTTGGTCCATGGCTATGGGGTCTTACTGTACTTATCTAGTCATAGAGAAGACCATGGGTTGGATCAGGAAAAGGATGCACACAAAAAGATAGTGATGCATCTGCATCCTGCAAATGCAGTCTGACTCCACTTTAACATCCAGGGCTCAATGCTATGGAATCATGGGAGTTGTAGCTTTACAAGGTCTATCGCCTTCTCTAACAAGTTTTTGATGCTCCTCTCCAAACTACAACTCCCATGATTCCATTGAGTTCACCCATGAAAGTTAAAGTGGAGTCAAACTGCATTAATTCTGCAATCTAGGTCACGCTAGAACAATGCCACGACTCCTTAATACAGTTCCTCGTGTTTACACAACAAATTTATTATTTCATGAAATCAAATATTGTTGAAAAAAATGAGAGGGATAGAGGCTTAAAGCAGTGGTTCTCAACCTCCTAATGCTGCGACCCCTTAGTACAGTTCCTCATGTTGTGGTGACCCCCAACCATAACATTATTTTCATTGTTAATTCATAACTGTAATTTTGCTACTATTATGAATTGTAATTTAAATACCTGATATGCAGGATGTATTCTCATTCACTGGACCAAACTTGGCACAAATACCTGATATGCTCTAATTTGAATACTTGTGGGGTTGGGGGGAGTTGATTATGTCATCTGGGAGTTGTAGTTGCTGGAATTTACAGTTAACCTACAATCAAAGAGCATTCTGAACTCCATCAATGATGGATTTGAACCAAACTTGGCACACAGAACTCCTTTGACCAACAGAAAATACTGGAAGTGTCTAGTGGGCATTGACCTTGAGTTTTGGAGTTGTAGTTCACCTACATCCAAAGAACACTGTGGACTCAAACAATGATGGATCTGGACCAAACTTGGCATGAATACTCAATATACCCAAATGTGAACACTGGTGGAGTTTGGGGAAAATAGACCTTGACATTTGGGAGTTGTAATTGCTGGGATTTAATGTTAACCTACAATCAAAGAGCATTCTGAACCCCACCAATGATAGAATTGGGCCAAATTTCTCACACAGAACCCCCATGAAGAACAGAAAATATGTGTTTTCTGATGGACTTTGGCGACCCCTCTGACACTCCTTCATGACCCCCCCCCCCCCCCCCCCCCCCCCCCCCCCCCCGGAGTCCTGACCCCCAGGTTGAGAAACACTGCCCTAGGACAGCTAGACAAGAACTTGGTTTGGGGAAAAATAAAAGCACAACAACCTTTCACAACACAGTGATGACTGTACAAATGTACTGACATTGCTCAACACAGCTTTGCAAGCACTTGCAATTTATTTTTGTATATTTAAGGTTCCCTTTATGTAGTTGTTGTAGCAGCCTGTGTTTTTTGCATGCATTTCCCTTTGCCCTCTATGTTTTCCCTGCTTCCTATGTGTCTATATAACAACAGAGGCCAACCTTTCATGCCTCTGAGGAAACGCAGCATGAATGCTCAAGGCATTGCAGACTGACTTGCCTTTGGGTGCACTTGCACAAAGTGAGCATACTGTATTGGATGGGAAAGGAAACACTGCTACAAAATGAGGTGTCTTCCTGTAATGACCCCATTGGCAAATTCTTCCAAGATGAGGCAGAGCAGAGGGGCAGATGGTAGAGGAGAAGTGTGGAGGAGTGCTGGAAGGCTTTCAGCGTGCCCTGCATATGCTTCCCAGGGCTAGACAGTAGGAGATGTTCTAAGGAAAGACCACCTGTTAAAGAAATTGAGATACTTGTCCTTATGGTATATAACCAAACTATGTCTCTTCTAATTTCTGAAAACATCCACTATTTGGCTCTGGTGTTATGAGGCAAGTCTCTGTTTTCATAGCCTAATGCTGTGACAAATAAGCAAGTAATTGTGGTTTATTTGGAGGAATTCAGTGTATGACCCTGACTTTAGTTTAGTGCAAAACAAGGAACACAGGGAAGTATCTTTTCTCCCACACTACACAATTATAGTTTGACTGTCACATTTGCTGGGGTTAGGGACACAGGACCTTTGTAAAAGTAAATTAAATTAAATTAAAAATATTTTATAAAAACCAGGGAGAACACATCTCTAAGAATCTCTGGTCAAATTGTATCTGGGAACTTTTGCAGATTTGATTAAAGTGTTCTCTCTAGGAAGCTCTAGGGCAGTGTTTCTCAACCTTCCTAATACCTTAATACAGTTCCTCATGTTGTGGTGACCCCCAACCATACAATTATTTTTGTAGTTACTTCATAGCTGTCATTTTGCTACTGTTCTGAATCAGAATGTAAATATCTGATGTGCAGGATGTATTTTCATTCACTGGACCAAATTGGCACAAATACCCGATATGCCCAAATTGGAATACTGGTGGAGTTTGGTGAAAATAGACCTTGACATTTGGGAGTTGTAGTTGCTGGGATTTGTAGTTAGTCTACTATCAACGAGCATTCTTAATGCCACCAATGATGGAATTGAACCAAATTTGGCACCAGAACTCCCATGACCAAAAAAAAAAAAATACTGGAAGGGTTTGGTGGGCATTGACCATGGAGTTGTAGTTCACCTACCTGCAGAGAACACTGTGGACTCAAACAATGATGGATCTGGACCAAACTTGGCACGAATACTCAATACACCCAAATGTGAACACTGATGGAAAATAGACCTTGACATTTGGGAGTTGTAGTTGCTGGGATTTATAGTTCACTTAGAATCAAAGAGCACTCTGAATCCAGCCCACAATGGATCTGCACCAAACTTGGCACATTACCTAAATGGCCAACATTGAATACTGGGGGGGGGGGGGGGCTGTTTTTGAATTCTGGGAGTTGTAGTTCAACACCAAAAAGGAAGAGAAGGACGGGCAGAGAGATCTTCAGCCTTCTGTGCTGAAAGGGTTCCAAAGACCAACAGAAATATGTGTTTTCTGCTGGTCTTTGGCGACCTGTCTGAATCCACCTTGTGACTCCACTGGGATCCTGACCCACAGGTTGAGAAACACTGTTCTAGGCCCTCTAGTGTGAATGTTAAATTAAGTATACTTCCATTGTGATTGTGTTTGCAATACTCAATTATACCATATTTTGATTTTGAGACACCATCGACATGGACTACTTTCATTACCGTCAACAGCTATATATATGTGTGTGTGTGTGTGTATCTCAATCACTCAGGTTTCTAAGATGTACCCCTTTTTAGAGATGTTTATATGGAGGGAAAGTGAATTTTAGAACTAAAGAATTACAGTAGTTTGGCATCACATTAGCTGCTAATTTTGGACCATGGTTCTTGTGTGTTATGGGGCCAAATTTAATTGCATATCACAAGCGCACCCACAATATTGCATCCTGGGTTCAGCAATTCTCCATCTGACTATTTGGAGCTAGATTCTTCTTGATGAGAGGCAGATACACAACTTACCTTCTACTCATGTCAAACACATGGTTGCAATGAATTTCAGGGGATATTTGGGTAGAGATCCTGCTCAAATAGAACTGTGTAATCAGTGTAAATCTCCATGTGTAATGTGAAACACTTGAAGTGTGCTAGAAATCAGTGTGGACAGACCTTTTACAGTCTGTCCAATGCGTGTTCTTTGCCATTTGCAAATGCAGTGATGAACAGACCGCTGACTTTGTCAAAGATCCTGGCACAATTGTATGTGTGCCGAATGAGTACTTAAAAGGTGAACCATGAAAAGTGAAAAGCAGCTGCTTCCCCTTCCACTCCCAGGCTTCACAAATCCCTGAGTGACAGCTGGCATGAAAACATTTCAGCTGCTGCATGAACTGAATGCATTTGCTGAGCATTGACAGAATCTCAGTGGTGGAAGCAGCTGGGATCTCTAGGAAGCATTTCAGCCGCTTGTATTATTGGCAGTATTGCTATTTCTCTCTTTTGGGGTTCTGTGGGGCCAATTATAAATGGATATCACAAATACCATGGATTTTTAAAATCCATAATATAGTTTACTTGTATTGGGTGCAATCTTGTATGGCTCAATGTAGCATAGTAGTTGTGCCACGCCTTGTGCTATAAGTAGATGCGAGTGATAAATAAAAATGTATTTTTGTATTAGTAGATCCACATACTGACATAAGCTATGCATTTATCAAACTCTCGTATTTCTAAAGTCTCATTTATGATATGGCTATTTTATATCTCCATCATGATGAGGGCAGTGTGTGGCCATGCTGCCATACTCAAGCACAAAAGGAGTATATTCCATACCTACTATGAGACCTACTATGTCCTTCAGGAGTCTCAGTGCTGCTGTAATCCTGTCACCTTTCGCTATTTATTTATTTATCGTGCCAGAAGCTAAATTGAGAAAATAGTTATAATGCATAAGGAACCACAAACAAAGGTAAAAACTTGGCATTATACTAAATGTCCATTGATCAGAAGCTGGCTACTTGGAGCGCCTCTGGTGTGGCTGTAAAAAGGTCCTCCATTGTGCATGTGGCAGGGCTCAGGCTGCATTGTAATAGGTGGTCTGTGGGTTGCTCTTCTCCACACTCATGGACTCCACTTTATAGCCCCATTTCTTAAGATTGGCTCTGCACCTCATAGTGCCAGAGCACAGTATGTTCAGCACCTTCCAGGTTGCC